GTGCTTTTGCCAGAACCACCACCTTCAACAACTATATGGCTACATGGCTTTTCCTTCCCCTCCCTCCCTTTTTTAGAGGCAGGGAGGGTTTCACCATGTAGCCCAGGCTGGCCTCAAACCCCTCTTGCCTTAGCTTCCTGAATGCTGTCTCTGGAATCATGTAACTTTTTGGGTCCTTGTTTTATCAGCTAAATTGACTGTACCCTGAGGGCAGGGAACAGGTTTAAACTTGTTACATTCTTTAATAGCTACCTTGGTTTCTGCCTCTTCTTAGATCATTTAGATCTTTGTTTGAGGAATAATTAAGAAAGACCTTGGTTTGGATTTCACTTATCTGATGGACCAAGGTCTCCAGGCGTAGGTAAATTTGACGATTCACTCCTGGGGACAGGGTGGAGCAGTGTGGAGCCCAGCAGGGTTTTCTGACCTTGCTCAATCTTAAAACTCATCCCAGGTACTTATTTAGAGTCCCATCTTGGCCTACTCAACCATATTCACTTGGACCCCCAGATTTGGGAAACACAGGTAGTGAAAAGGCAAAGCACTTTGTTAAATAAAAATTACAAGAGGATATTTTTGGACAAGGTTCCTGCACCAGACTCTGAAAAACCAAGACTAAAAAATCAAAACAGTCACTCATGCAGAGCTTCCACATCATCTAACTTTATCCGACCTGAAAAATCCAGAAAGAGCACCAAATTTCCCAGTCAGGCCATTTTCAATGGCACAACAACTTTAATCCTTCCAAAAAAGTAACCCAAGTTAACCCATCAGTTGTTTTTCTATCGTCTCTGTCTCTACCTCACAAGGACAGTAACTTTCAAATGACCAAACCTCTTTTCTGCCTATAAATCCAACCTCCTCTGCTCAGCCCATTGAAACTACTTATTTTATGGAAGGACATGTTGTTCAACCTCTGCCTTTTAACAAGAGTGTTTGGGTATGTTGGGGACTGAACCCAGGACCTGGTGTATACTAAGCACCACGAAGCTACATCCCCAAGCCTTTTCTAAAATTTATTTTTATTTATTTTTGGCAATACTGGGGTTTGAACTCAGGGCTTCGTGCTTGCTATGCAGGGATTTACCTGCTTGAGCCATACCTCTAGCCCTTTACCCCCCAGCCTTTTGGCAGTGTTTAATTCAAACTCCTGAGACAGAAAGATCTCTAAAATTAAACAGGTTTTCTTTTTGGCAGTACTGGGGTTTGAACTCAGGGCCCCATGCTTGCTAGGCAGGTGTTCTACCACTTGAGCCACTCCACCAGCCCATAACCAGGTTTATTGAGCTACTATAAATACCAGGCAGAAAAAGGACCAGGTCTTGGGACAAGTTCCTGCAACTACCAGCAGCAGGGCTGGGGAGCAATTAGAAAATGTCCACTGGACCTACAGCTAGCAGGTTTTTAAATGAACTTTGGGGAAGGAGAGTACTGTTAACACTGAACCTGTGTTGGCAAAAGGTAAGAGGGACAGGATTATGTAAGGCTGCTCTGGGATAGGAAGGCAATCCATAAAAAGTAACTGTAGTTTCTGGACTGGCTGGGGTTAACAGTTCGAAACGTTTGTATGTAAATAGGATGTGGAGACCTTGGTGACCAGTCATGAGGTTTTCAGCCTGTAGTTTTTTCCCATCTCTCCTCCTGCCCTCTATGATTAAATTTAGGACCTCTCAGGGTTTTTCTTTCAGCAACAGGTTTGAAATCCTGGCTGTCACTAAAGGCCCTTGTATAAATTCTTTCCTCAACTACCTCATTAGTACACTAGAGATAATGTACCTCGAAACCCTTGCGAGGATTACTAGTGATGTGTTGAGAAGTCACTAGCATAGTGCTCTTTTGGTACCCATGTAGGTGTTCTTGACTGTGAATGTCACTGACACTAGCAAAAACAGTTTCAGAAGCTTAAGGTACCTCCTCAAGTCACAGATAAATTGTGGGAGGGCAGAGGAGGGCTATGAAGCACTATTTATCAAAATGTGACCCTCAGGCCACCTTCATCATCAGTGCCATAGACCCCATCCCAGAGTCTTTACTTTTAAGTAGGCTTCCTAGGTTATCCTTAAGGACAATAAAGTTTGAAAAGCACTATCCCAGTCTCCCTCATTCTTATACTAGTGATTTGTCCACAGATAGATGAATAGAAGGATGAACACAATTTTAAATTTTCTCAACTGGCTTAAATAGCAGCTAAAAATAACTCTTGTGAAAAAATGCTCATTGCCTACCTCTGACTCATCATTATGAAAACAACTCCACACCCCCACCCACACCTTCAGTGCTGGGGATGGAACCCACCACCTTGTGTGTGCTAAGCAAGTGCTGTATGATTGAGCCACACCCTCGCCCCACATATCCTATTTTGAAGACAGCATTTCAAGACATTTGGAAGTTCTGTTTCAAGGACTACACATCAGAAGCACTCTTAATAAATCCTTCCCCCCTCACATGCAAATTGACAAGGCAGCATTGAGGCTATCATGGGAAACCGGATACAGCTAGTGTTTGTTGAAATCATCATCAATGGGCTTACATGCTGAAAACTCAAGATACGTAAACATCCACGCTGTTGGAACATCTTTTGTACATCACAGGATTTTCAAGTGCTTTTGTGTGGCTACAAATGACATTGCAGCCAGAGCAGCAGCAATGGCACTGGAAAAGCAATGGAGGCACGAGTCACTTGTGCAGTTAGAGGGCAGGACAGGACCAGGTACTCTTAAGCTGGAGTGTATAGTCACCCGTAGCTTCAGGTCTTTGTTCCTGTGAAGCAATATCTATTTGGCATATAGGCATAACTATTTTTCTGGGAATATATTCTATAACTTTTCTAATATTTTAAAAAGGTCTAAAGCCCCCAGATGTTTTTCGTTGCTGTTTGTTTTTAATTTCAGATTGGATTATGGCAAAGGCTTTTTGCCAGTTCTGTGGTTCTAAAGAAAACCAATGTCCCAATTCTTCACTGGGTCTAACCTGGATGGGTCTGTTGACTCATTTCGTTTTTCAAAGACATTATCAAGTGCTCCCTCTAGGCCACCAAAACCCCTTCTCCAACAAAATATGCTCAATTGTGCAACAAAATTCACTTTGTACAAACAAGACTATTTTCCCCAAATGGTATGATTTAGCTTGTTTTAATGTTGACTGGTATAAAAATGAAGACTTCTGCCTGGTACATTTGGCTTTACAACCATTAATGACTCGCCAATGCTTGTCTTGTATGTTACGTGTCATTATAATCTGCTGACCAGTAACAGCTCTTTCAACGTGGGTTAATACCAAAACATGAATCATGAAACTTGTACTAAGCACACACACGATCTACAGAAAACTTAAATACTAATCTATAATATCTAACTGAATTATTGGATCCATTGCAGGATTGTGCTTATTTATCTCAGAAGATAGGCAACTAGCAAAAATACACATTTCTTTTGCATATTCCCACCCACCCATGTTACACTGTAAAAGAAATACATTATTCAGTGCACTTCCTAAGAAATAAACTCCCTTATAGTATCTCTCTCTATATATCTATCCCCAAACAAAGGAAGAGCATAATGCAACCTTTAAGATTACCAGTTAAAGCAAGAGAGGTAATAATACTCTGGCCTGGAGCCTCCCCTCCTGATTAGAAGGTTTGGCTATTTTATCAACACTGTTCCATTTTGGCTATGCAATGGGAATAAAATTCAAAGCATAACTACTTTGCACAGTTTAAGATACTCCCTACATCATTTTGGTAGACACCCTGGGGCATTAGTAGCATTTTTATATCTAAAATATTTACCTTAATCAAACTATAAGCTGTGGAGTCATTAGTATTTTCTGTTATGATTTAGTTTCCATCACCTGACTTTCCTCAGTCAACTCCTATTGGATTAAAAGGAAACAATTTACAGCAGGTTAGGGGCTGCTGGCTAAATGCTGGCTAGGATGTTTGTGAAGACACCACACCTCTTTCCCTCCATGTACACAAAAATCACATAATCACCACGTCTCAGCCGAGTTGTGGAGAGTCCTGTTTGGAACAGGTGGATAGTCGTATTTTTTGCAGTACTGGGGTCTGAACTCAGGGCCTCACACTTGTTAGGCAAGGACTCTACACTTGAGCCACTCCATCAGCCCTGGAGAGTCATATTTTATGGACTACCCAGTGAAAAATTTGGAGGCTTCTGTCTGTACAAATTTACTATGATACAAATGGCAGAAGTTTCTAGAATGAAAGCAGTTGATACTTGGCAGCTTGCAAGCTAAATCCAGCTACAGACATGTTTGTTTAACCAGCAGCACTTAAGAAAATTTTTAATCAGTTCTTGATATTTAAAAAATGAGTCTTTCTTACTTTTTCTTTTTGTGGCACTGGGATTTGAACTCAGGGCCTCAAGCTTGCTAGGCAGGCGCTCTAGTACTTGAGTCACTCCGCCAGCCCCGAAACAAGAATGTTTCTAATGGAAATGTTTTCATGAAAATTTGGATTTCACAAACATTTGAAGAGGTGGTAGCCTTGGTACAGCATTCTTGCATGGCAGCAACTGGAGCTGACAGGGATGACCCAGGGATGCATGAGGCTGGGGCACTTCAGTTTGTTACAGCTCCCAGTATTCCAACCTGTTTGGCAGCACTCAGGGGAGTGGTCTGTCCACTCATTTACACGGGCCTTGGGTGTACTTAGCTGTGCATTTTTGTGGTGCTGAAGACCTGGGCTTCATTTGGAATTTCCCTACTTCCTATGGAAGGGATTCTGCCCTTGACTGGGTCCCAGCCACATCTAGTTGCTTTGGTAGGTAATCTTAACATGCAATTCTACTTGTCCTTTGTGCTATATTGCAAACTCCAAAGACATAATCACACTAATATTTATGTCTAAGTGTGTGTATGCTGAACATGTAAAGGGGTGTGTATCTATACAAACACATGTATACTTCCACTTGGGCAAAAGTTAATTTGGTTGCACAGATACAGACAAGTGCTGGCAGCTTGGAGAATAAACGTAACAATTTGGTAAAACCTGTATAATTCTGACTTATAAGATTACAAAGAGTGAATTTAAAGTTATTGCTCTTTGATTATAAAGATTTCATTCTGTTACAAAATACTTTTATACAGAATGCATAACCATTTCCTATTCAAGTAAAAGCAAACAGAATCAGAAGTTCCTTACACAACAGTAGATGCTTGCAGACATTTTGAATGGAGATGTGATTTCATTCTGCTCAAGATTTATAGAGGAAAATTGGGAGTGACTTAATTTTTCAAAAGTACAAGAAATCAGCACCCCAACTGCTTAGTGCTCAGGAGTGTTCCTCGAGAGCTCCACAAAGCTCAGCTACATGGAGAGTTCACACCCACCTTGAAGGATTCCCATTCTACTCATGCAGCCTTGTTCCAGAATACAAAGCTGTATTAAAAACATTAAAAGAGGACTAAAAGCAGTGTAGGTTTTTAACATTCAGAATTCACAGAGGATCTCATTTTCTGCAATTATATGATCCAGTTTTTGTTTTTGCTGCAGAAACACATTCACATGGCAGTCTTATTTCAGGCACTTTTAAAACATGTTCATCTGGAATAAAAATCTGCACGAAACACTTCTGCATAATTCAAAATGAGTGTTGAGTAATTCTAGTTTCAAAATAGACAGCAGATCACCACCTGGTACTTAATTAGCTTCCTCCATCACAGCATGACGGTGACTGCTGAGCCAGAGCTGTCTCTGAGGTGCCCTTCTAGCTCAGTACAGAGATAAGAGCCACAAAAATCCAAACTACTCAGTTTCTACTTAAAAAAATACAAAAAAGTAAAATACACTAAGTGTATTATACAGATGGTTTTAGCTACTATCAAAATAAATAACATAATCTGACTCAATGATCTAACTGCGTTCTTGGACGAAATCTGATGGAATGTCAAATGTGGGGACTCATTCCTAGGAACTAGCTGCTGGTAGGCAGAAGTATCTCAACGTCCTTGCCATTGGCCACCACAGTGTTAGAACAGCTGCTGGCAAGGTCTTCTGTGGTGGTCACAGAGGACGCCTGGGAATGAGTTTTGGTCAGTGGAGTGGCAGTAGATGGAGAAGGAGTGAGGCCAGGTTTTTTGGGTGGGATAGGTGGAGGGTTTCCTCTCTCAGCTCTGGGGATGGTTGGGGACTTGATTCCTGGAGACAGAGGGCTCAGAGGGCTGGACACTTTTCCTGGAGCAGGTGAATGGCTGGTGTCACCTCTTGGGCTGGCAGTACCGGCCAAATTTCGATAGTCTGTACCAAATGGAGAACTATTGGGAGAAACAGGCTTGATTGGCCCTTGTTGGCTAGTGAATCTGGAGAGCACCTGAGTGACTGTGTTTCGGGCCAGCTGCTTGGCGGCGGAGTTGTCTAAAAGGGTGGGGGACAGATCTCTGGATGGAGGGCTCTGTAGACCACTGGCTTGTTGGTCCTGATCTGCTTGGGACTGAAATTTGTGCCGAGCTGCATGGAACCGTTGGTTGATCCCTACCTGGTAGGATGACTGGTAGCCAGGGCTGCTAGCTGATGAGCCCAATAAGCGTTTCGTTAGTACTGGTGAAGAGCAAGGAGAGGATGTGAGAGAGGAGGAGGCAGTGCTGCTGGGAGACAGTGAGCTGCCACTAGAGGGAAGGTGACTGGGCATTGGGACTGGAGTCTCAGTTCCCACAGAACACCCACCATTCTCCACTGGTTTCTCTTGGGGCAATGCCACAGACTTCTCTCGTGGAGGCACTTGATTTTCTACACTGTTGCCTGCAATCAACTCCCTGTTAGTTTGAATTTCTGGATCACAATGGCCATTGGTTTTTGCATACGAGTAAGTAGGCGTGTTGGGACCAGGAAGACCAGTGTTTGCCACCTTGGCTATGACATTCCCATGGGTTCTTTCTGCCTGAATATTCTCTGTTTGGCAAAATACAGACACCAGCATGGGAGGCTCAGTTGCTGTGCCTTTGGACATGGTGACGCGTTTCTTCAAATGCTCATCAGTGCTACTGTGCTGCTGGGAAGCCTCTAGGTCCTTCACTATCTTCTTCAAACTTTCCATCTCTTCTTTCAGAGTTTTGGTCCGGTTCTCTTCTCGGTTCAGTTTTGCTCTCAGCTGCTCCCTTTCAATGTCAAACTCAGACAACTGCTTCTCCACCTGGGCCTCAGTCTGCAAGCCTCGTTTTCTCTCAGCTGCCAACTCCTCCTCCAGTTTACTCACCCGGCTCTTCTCTCTCTCCAGTTTCAGGCTCAGCTCTCCCGCCTTCTGCCCTTCCTCGGCTGCCTTGCTGGTGGCTTTCTTGCACTCAAGCACCAGCATGGATGACAGCTGCTTGTGGCGGGAGCGCTCCTCTTCCAGCTGACTAGAGAGCTTCTTTTGCTCTTTTTCAAACTTTTTCACTTGGGACTTTTCAAATTCCAACTAGAAAAAAAATACCACCACACATCTTGATTAGAGTAAGAAAACAGATATACTGAAAAATTAGGATCAAGTAGTGTCCTGGCTAGCTGCCCTTCAGTATATGGGATTACTACGTATGCTATGGTACTTAAAAGTAGTTATTTCTAAAGAATTAGAAATAGTTTAGAATAGCATTTGCATGAGATAACACAAAAACTGCACATACTATGATTTAATCTTTCTTTGATGATTTAAGAAGCATTTGTAGTTCTTAACTGTCTTAGGGTTATTAGTGGGAATATGATACATCACTGTGTTTGAGGTATGTGGAGAGTACACAGAACCAACCAAAACAATAACAGAAAATGATATAAACCAGATATTGTGGGGGAGGTCAACACTGATGAAAACAAAATTTTCTCTGGTTTTAAAGATGAACAAACATAAATAGCTGCATTTGAATCACACTATTTTAAAATTTTATCTTTCTCTCTCTCTCTTGCAGTTCTGGGTCTCATGCTTGTGAGGCAGGCACTCTACCATTTGAGCCAAATCCCCATCCCTTTTTTAGCTTTAGCTATTTTTCTGGTAGGGTCTCCTGTTTTTGCCCAGATCCAACTTCAAATCGCAACCCTCCTGATCTCTGCCTTCTGAGTAGCTGGGATTACAGGCATCAGTCACTGCCCTTGGTGTAAACTGAAATCATGCTCTTTTTGTTGTTATTCTTGGTTTTTTGACACAGGGTGTTACTATATAACCCAGGCTGGCCTCCAACTCTTGTCTCAACCTCCTGAGCACTGGTAGTAGAGGCGTGCACCATCACGCCTAACTCTGAATCATACTCTTTAGAAAAATGTAGTCTGTTTTGTTTTCCAGCATTATTTATTGCACAGAGACTCTGAATGAGGGGGAAAGGAGAAATCAGTTTAGTGATCCATGATCAGAATTTTTAAAAAAATGAAATAGAATGGGCTGAGGGCATGTCTGTCTAGCAAGCACAAGGCCCTGCATTCAAACCCCAGTACTGCCAAAACAAACAAACAAACAAACAAAAGAATTCTAAAAAAATGAGAATACATCAATGTACACTGCAGGCAGCCCAGGGTCTGTGTCGTCTCCTGAGATGCAAAGCATTTCTCGCTGGAGCTCTTACTCCAAAAGTCTGAAAGCTACAGCTCTAAGTTATGGTTCCCCAAAGTGTGTTGTACAGAATGAGAGTTCCGCAGTGAGAGATCTATGTATAAAAAAATCCCCCAAACAAAAAAAAACCCACATGATTTTATGAAACACAAGATGTGCTAAACATGGACTATATTCAAATCTTGTTCTTGAAGACTCACAATGTAATTTTGCATACTTAGAAACCTGTTTAATTTTGTTTAATCCAGTAGTTCCCAGACTCTTTGACCGCAGAGCCTTTTTTTAATCCCTTGCATCCTGAGGGATAAGCCCTGAGAAATGCTATTCCAGACAATGCTGCTGTGATCCCTTCACCATAGTTACCTGTTGAGTCAGCCTCTCTCTCTCCTTCTCCAGCATGTAGGTGACATCATCTCCTTCAGCTGTGTCCTGTGCATGCCTTTGCCTTTCTTCTTCAAGGTCTAAGATCACCTTTAAAAATTTTTTAAAATTCATTTCAAAATATCAAGTAATCACACTTATAACACAAGTGCCTAACTAAACACTTAAGATAGTTCCAGACTGAGAAAACAAATGAAATCCAGCCAGGGCCATCAAGGAACACACCGTCTAACAGGATGGAAGACATGTAAGCTACGTACTAGCAAACAGATATTTACTTGAAGTATGGGCAGAATGGAATGTAAGCAGAGAGAAGCAGCAACTAATTAGCTGTGAGGCTGAGAAGGTTTTCAAGATTAATAGAAAGTCTTAGAAGCTGCAGGCAATTTGGTGTGACTTGGACCCAGGTGTAGGTGATGGAGAAAGATGGGGCCACAGAAAAGCTGAGGCGTTCCTCTTAATGCTCAAATCACTATAGGCATCAAAAAGGGAGCTGGAGGAAATCCCAGCACTGGGTAAGCAGAGCCAGAAGGATCATGAGTTTGAGGCCAGCATGGGCTACATACAAGACCCTGTCTCAAAAAACTAAGGAAAAAAGACAGGAGTGGGTTAGGGTAGAGGGAGAGCCTGTGACTAAACATTTCAAATAGTCAACAGTCGATGCCTTGCTTAATTAATAAGATATGTTTTTTACATAGTTAGACAAGAAGTGAAAAGATTCTCTTCATCCTGCAGGCAAGAAGGCTCAATTATTGGGATCCTAAGTGGAGAGTTTTCATAAGGCCTTTTAATTATCTTGCTTACCCCTATTCCACTTACCTTGATGCCAAAGGATTAAGCTCAATTTTAAGAATATAGATTTAAAGGGACATTTTCAACAAAATCCTGCCTATAACCACACACTGTTCTGAATGGCAATGGATTACTCAGTAGCTTCTGCTGGTGCTTGGGAAGTGCCTTGGCCCAGACCTCCAGGGCACAGCCAATGGCCATTTCTCATAATTTTGACACATAAAAATTTTTATGAATGGAAAGAAAATTTTCTGCAACACAAATCCCCCCTTTAAAATTGACAGGCTTTTGGCTAAATGTGCTAGGTTCTCTCTCTCTTGAGAGCCCTCTGAAATTACAGAAATGGAATGAAAAGACTAAAATCCCACAAAGACAAAGACAGACTTTAGTAGACAAGGCTTTTAATAACATTTCAAGTAAAAGGCTGGAGGAGTGGTAACAACTTCAGTAAAGGGAGGGAGCCACTGTGCCCCAAAGAGAGAGAAACTGGATGGACGTGGTAGGCGCTTTAGTGGGAGAAGTGAGACAAGGCACAGAACACAGGCAGGCTGATAAGGGAAATGCAAATCAAAACCATGCTGAGGTTGCCATCTTACCTCAGTTAGAATGGTAATCAAGAAAACAAACAACAAATGTTAGTGAAGATGAGGGACAGAAGGAACCCTTATACACTGGTTATTAGAAATGTAAATTAGTGCAGCCACTATGAAAATCAGTGTGAAGGCTCCTCAAAAAACTACAAATAGAACTACCATAGGACCCTGTTCTACACTCCTGGGTATATATCTGAAGGAATGAAAGTCATCATACAATACAGACACCTGTACCCCATGTTTACAGCAGCACTATTCACAACTGCCAAGCTATGGCAATCAGTCTAGGTTTCTGCCGACCAGTGAACGGATAAAGAAAATGTGGTATATATACACAATGGAGTATTATTCAGCCATAAAGAAGAATGAAATTATGTTGTTTGCAGGAAAACGGATGGAACTGGAGATCATGTTAAGTAAAATAAGCCAGACTGAGAACGATAAATATCTTATGTTCTCTCTCATATATGGAATCTAGACCTAAAAAAATAAAATTAATGACCTGAATCTAAAATAGAGAAACTGGTTTGGGGTGGGAGAGGGAGGATGAAAGGAGAGGGTAAAGAGGGGGTGAATATGATCTAAGTATTTCATCTAAATATATAAAAACAGAATGAAAGCTTTACAATAATTTAAAAGGGGGATGGTAAGAAAGAGTACAGAGGGGGTTATTTGATCAAAGTACATTACATGTATGTGTGGAAATGTCACAATTTGTACAATTAATATATGCTAATAAAAAAATGAAAACCAGGAGATTCAAAGTCTGTATTTTCAGAAGAGTTATTTGTCCCCTCATCCAGATTATTGCACATAGAATGATAGTACTGGTTCCTACTACTGCCCAAGCATAAGCCAGATGCTCATCCTCTGAAGAGTCAGAACTTGACAGGCTTAGGATTTGGGATACCAGATAGGACAGAGAAGGGGGTTAAATCTGTCTGGGAAAAATGTGAAGAGGTGAAGGGGAGAGGAAGGTGCAGTGTAAGATAACTAAATCTGCATTGATCATAAAAAGAAGTAACGTAATTCTCTAAGACAAGAGAGAGCAGTACATTATTTGGATATATAGAGGTTAGTGACCAAAATAAATGGCTAAAAGATAAAAGTTGCTGCCTCTGAGTACTAGAGAGGATGAAGAATGGGAAGAAGTGGGTTAGAAAACTCCATTTGTCATTATAAGTAACCATGTTGTTTACTATTCAAATGTTTCTGAGAGCTGAAGTGACAGGTATAAACTGGGACTATGAGCACCCTAATTATAAGCCTGTAGATCCCATTTGATTTCTAACAAAGTCAGAGTTCAACTTTGAAAAACACTTACGGATAAATAGGCACTTGGTTTCAAAAATTTAGTACTCACTTAAACATTTTACATTAAATACAGTATTAATGAACTTTGAATTATATTTAACTTCTTCCTCTTCCTCAGTCACCTAGACCTGCAAATTATCACAACACTGCATCTTCCATGGGCATGACACCTAGCCAAGCCCTTCAGCACAACTCAGTGACCCCTGGATAAAGTGGAAATAAGGCCTGCCAATCAATCAAGGATGTGGTGAAGATTTTCTTACAGAATGATGTAAAAGCCCTCCAAACTTAGGCAATTTACTCCAACCCACTGACACTAAATGTTTCCAGAATACCTCATTCTAGACTGAAGTTTAAACTTTTTTGGGTCTTGGGCAACTTAGAGAATTTGATTAAAGCTATGAAAAAAAATACAATTCCCACAAAAATGCATAAACTTTTGACGTTCTGTTTATTTTTTGGGGCACTGTGGAACATCTGAGGCCCATCCACAGTTAAGGAAGTGCCTTTCATTTGGACTCTGTGAAGGGAAAGAAAAGATCACAGGCAAGACCTTGAACGTGGGCAATTTATCAAGATGTAATTTAAGCAGCTGGCTCTAATATAGATAACCATAAAAGTAAACTGAAGTCCACCAAATTGTTAAATTAATTTTTCTGATTAAAATGTTTCCTGCAACATGCAGTGATGCCCCCTTATTGGTATAAATCTAAACTGATAGTTTTAAAACTGAAAATTCTAGCCAAATATCTTCTGCGCACTTGTCAGTCAGAACCAATCTCTTCCCTCCCTCCCTCCTTCTCCCACTCTCATTCTACCTTCTCCCCTAACAGGGTATAAGAACTTTAAGGTAAACAACCCCAGGAACTGTTTATGGTTCATGAGCAATAAAACCTGATGAAACTCAAAAGTAGGAATAACTGAAAATAATCTCCTGGCTTGTGTTTGTAGTCAGGTAAATTCTCTCTTCTGCCCTCCTGCTCTCTGGGATGCAGCATTCTCCAAATACCTGTTAATCTTTCTATTTATCACTTAAGTAAGCAAATAGAGAACACTCTGTTCAGCTACAAGCTTGATTAAACCCCAGTTTGTTGCCAAAGTTTAGATGATCAAGATCTGAAAAAAACATACCAAGTGTTCTGGAGTGACACATCGAGAAGGAATGCCATCTGAAATAATGGATCTGGCACATTCACTAAACTAGCATCTGGAATAACCTGTGCTCTCTTTTGTACCTTCTGACTCCTTTGTGAGCTGAAGACCTTTTTGGTCCCCATGAGACCCGCCTAATTGAATTACTGTGAAAACTGGCAGCTGACAAGAAGGAATCAGACATCATTCACAGAGTTGCCACAAGGGTTTATGCAGCACACATCTACAAGGCTGAACCTACCTTTCGGTGCCTGCTCTCAGCAGCTGCCAGCTGGGACAGCATGCGCTCCTGCATGTTCTTGCACTGCTTCATCACCACCTTGAGAATAGAGAGCGGGTTTGTGCAGACTGGCTGCTTTTCGCCATCATTTTTCTCCTTTAGTGTTTCAAAATCTCTCTGTAGAGCCATTAAAGGATCACTGATGTTATATTTCCCATAGCGTTCTTCAATGAAAGTATCTCTGTGTTGAGCCTGGGAAAGAGAAAAATAACTAAGTGTTTTGCTTTTTACAACCATTGAGAAGATGAATAAAATATCTAGTAGTTATACATGAAAGGTATAACCTGCTGAATAAAAATTAGATTGAGCCATTCAACTATAGAAACAACATCAGAAAGGTGGCATGGTATATTATTATTACAGAGAGCTCACTATGTATTAAACATTGTTCTAAGCATTTATGGTCATATTAACTTATTTAATTTTTACAACTCTACAAAGTAGTGCCAATCATCTTCATTTTACAGATGAGAAACTATTACAGAAAGGTTAAATAACATATCTAGCAAGCTATCAGAACTGGGACTTAAACTCAGCCAGCCTGGCTACAATGTCTGTATCCTAACCACCATGCTCGCTGCCTCTGCTTACATCTGATTATGCTACCAGCAAGTATATCTGACCTTTCTTTGTGTTATGGCATTCGTATTTCTAAAATGTTAAGCATGATGATTTTGTGAGCTTATATACTTAGGAGGCCTAGAAAGGTGCCAACAGATATATAAAGGATGCAAAAATAAATATGATCGCATTAAAACCTAGGAGTACTTGTGATTTGTACACATGAAGCTTGACTTCGCATTAAAACCTAGGAGTACTTGTGATTTGTACACATGAAGCTTGACTTTGCTGTCGATGGGCCAATAGTGGGGTAGAGCCACTCACAACCAAAGGTACAGACAAATCCCTTCTACCTGCTGCCAAATTCTACCCTGTCTTAGTTTCTGTTCAGCTGCTATCTTCCATAGTGCTTTCTCCTTCAGGGCTTGGTGAGTTTTGGATGAGTCAGAACATGAGAAGGGGATGCAGGCTTGTGCTTAGCACACAGTTCAGGGTTTTGGGCCTGGGTGCTAAGTCAGGGTTCTAAGGCTCAGGAGATGGCTTAAAAGATATAGTTAGGCTCCCCTCTTTGTCAGGTCTCTGCTAGGAAGAGCTTTAAATGCTACTTCATGTGAGTATCGCATTTACATGCAGGTGGACAGAGTGCCACTCATTACTACAGATAGTAGAATGTTCCTGGAGATGCTTTACAACAACCACAGCAAAATAAAGTGTTTACACAGGACTGAGAAAACTTTCTAAAAAATGCACTGCAAAGGTATGGTGGTACACACCTGTAATCCTAGCACTTGGGAGGTTGAAGCAGGAGGATTGTGAGTTTGAGGCCAGCCTGGGCTATGATAGTGAATCCCTGTCTCAAAAAGCAAAACAAACGACAACAAAATCACAGTGAAGTAATATGTAATTTAAGTTAAACCTATTTATTTATTTACTTATTTTTTCTTTCTTTTTTTTATTGTTTTATTATTCATATGTGCATAACAAGGCTTTTGGGTCATTCTTCCCCCTGCCCCCCACCCCCTCCTTAACACCCACTCCGCCCCTCCCTCTCAGTGCCAATTTCAGGCCCAACTCGCGTTTCAAACGGTAGCCAATGTAAAAGTGGGATCATGAGCAGCAGAACCTGGTTTGGGGGAGAGAGAATATGAAATGCAGATAAAACAATAGAAATGTGAAAGACAATGAAGTTGAGGTGAGAAGATGGAGGGAAGTTGAAGAGAAAGGGCATGTATTCCCCCCTTTTCCTATAAGGCTTATTGTAACTTTTTAAAAATTTTTTTTATTTTATTCATTATGTTACCATACAGTGTTTGGGTCATTTCTTCCCTTCCCCCCACTCCTCCGTTTACTTCCCCACCCTCCTTCCTTCTCTTCTCCTACCCCCCTCGCTACCAAAGCAGAAACTATTTTGCCCTTACTTCTATTTTTGTTGAAGAGAGAGTATAAAGCATAATAGGAAGGAACAAGGGTTTTTGCTGGTTGAGATAAGGATAGCTATACAGGGAGTTTGACTCACATTGATTTCCTGTGCGTGTGTGTTACCTTCTAAGTTAATTCTTCTTTGATCTAACCTTTTCTCTAGTTCCTGGTCCCTTTCCTATTGGCCTCAGTTGCTTTAAGTATCTGCTTTATTTCTCTGCGTTGAGGGCAACAAATGCTATCTAGTTTTTTTAGTGTCTTACCTATCCTCACCCCTCCTTGTGTGCTCTCGCTTATCATGTGCTCAAAGTCCAATCCCTTGTTGTGTTTGCCCTTATCTAATGTCGCATATGAGGGAGAACAACGATTTTTGGTCCTTTTGGGCCAGGCTAACCTCACTCAGAATGATGTTCTCCAATTTCCATCCATTTACTTGTGAATGATAACATTCATTCTTCTTCATGGCTCATAAAATTCCATTTGTATAATACCCACATTTTCTTAATCCATTCGTCAGTGTGGGGCATCTTGGCTGTTTCCAATAACTTGGCTATTGTGAAAATGCACGCAATAAACAATGGGTGTGCAGGTGCCTCTGGAGTAACCTGTGTCACAGTCTTTTAGGTATATCCCAAGAGTGGTATTGCTGGATCAATGGTAGATCAATGTTCTTTTTTAAGTAAGCCTCCAAAATTTTTTTTCCAGAGTGGTTGTACTAGTTTACATTCCCACCAGCAGTGTAAGAGGGCTCCTTTTTCCCCGCATCCTCGCCAACACCTGTTGTTCGTGGTGTTGCTAATAATGGCTATTCTAACAGGGGTGAGGTGGAATCTTAGTGTGGAAATTAAACCTATTTATGAAAACTGTCCTTTACCCATTTAAAAACACTATTAGCAATATTTTCTTAGTACTGCCATTCATAAATAGGAGCTCATTAAAAAGTGGGAATTCAAAATTTAATAGCTATGCTTTAATTTAAAAGAACCTTAAAAAAAATAATGCAAACACAGGGTTTCTATAATGCAGAAGTACATTTCAATACTGAAAATTGGATGCCTTCTTTGTTGACTGTGAAAGTTTATATCCCAGGAGTCACTTAGCCTTCTGTACGGATTTGTGTTGGTATCAGTTGGAAAGTGTTCAAAGCCCAGTTAGAAGCCGTGGGTCTTACGCCAGGCCTGGTGGCGCACACCAGTAATCCCAACACTCAGGAGGCTGACACAGGAAGCCCTGGAGTTCAATGTCAGCCTGGGATACATACAGAGTCTGTCTCAACAAACCAAATAGCTTCAAAAAAGAAGCCTCTGGGTTTAACTTTTGGTTTGATTACAACTATCTTGTTATAACATTATTGGAGTATTTTGGTGATACTTATATGCAAGAAATATATATGGATAGAGGAGAATTAAAGTGCGGAGAGGTTTGAAAGAGTCCAAAACAATTCAATTTTTTAGGTCCAAATTAAAAGGGAAATTCTCAGTAGTATTTCAGAATAATCTGCCATTTAGGATGAGAAAGAAAAGATCAACTCTTGAGCCAGCCATTTCTATTCTTAGTTTATATCACAGTGAAAGTAAAACTGAAAAGCTGGTTACATTTTTATAAGCAACGGGGTCAAACAACACGGGATCCATCAATGTTTTCCTTTCACCAAGAATATGCTTCATTAAATTTTGTATAAAAACATGACATTGACAATCTAGGATTCAACAAAAGTATCTATTTGTAACTACCAATATCCGAAGACAAATCCATATTTAGAAAAATGTTTGCCAAAAGAGGCAAGAGAAAGGCTCTTCAAGCAGTTGAAATACCATTTTTAGTCACATTTTTTATTTATAACCATATCTGTATGGTTAGTATTGGTGAAGGAATGGTTACTGGTACTAAAATTGCTTAGGGCAAAAGGAAATAGAAAAAATAAGCACAAATTTTTAATGGCCTTTATCTTTTCAGAACATCATGGAGAAGGTAGGGTGGAAAAGTAGAAGCCAAGACTACAATTCATGACCTTGACATCAGATCTGCTGAGAAGCTGTCTCTCAGGTTTGAGTACACAGTTAACTAATCCTAAAAATATGACTTTTTAAAACCCACACTGTGATTATTCTATATAATTAATAAGCACCAGAGTCACAAGTAATAGACAAGGAGCTTCTTTGGTGAGGTTTCAGCCTGAGAACAGTTGTTAGGCTGTCTGTTTTCTCTTGAAGTACTTCACAGTAATTCTGTAGTCACTTACACAGTAATTACAAGTTACATAAAATAGATGACTTCACCTATAAATGAAAAAGATCTCTGGAATAACTTTTAAAAGGCTCCTTGTCATATAGCAATTCTTTTGACTATATCCTAATATGGGCCCAACTATAGAAAAGGTGAATTCAATGTCTGTATTTATTACATCAAACACTTGGAAAAGGAGAGATGCAATATGGTATTTTCAACCAATGTAAAGACTCAATCAGGTGAACTGTATCAGGTTTAACAGTGCAAATATAACAACAATTAAAAACAAATGTTAAAATTTGAAGTGTGAAAGGGCTTTAATAGAAGTGTGTACTGCATAACCAAACACCCCAGAACCTAGCAGATTGAATAATAAATATTTTTATCTCATATGGTCTTTGAGGGTCAGGAATCTGGGAGGGCTTCGCTGGGTAGTTCTGAATGAGGGTCTTTTGAAGCCATGATGGGGGCTGGTGAATGCATGTCCAAGCTTACTCACATGGCTGTTAGCACAGGCCTTGCCACAGAGCAAGGGAAGAAAAAGACAGAGAGAAGAGAGAGGAGGGAAAGGGAGCAGATGGGAGAGAACAAACACATGCAAGCAACTAAGACGAGTATCTAAGTGACTTTTATAACCTAATCTTGGGAGTAATGTATCATTACTTTTGATGTATTCTATTGGTGATACAGACCAACCCTGGTAAATTTAGGAGGGGACTACACAGGGTATGAATATCAAGAGGCAGGGAGCACTAGAGGCTATCCTGGAGACTGGCCACCACAAGGCAAATGATGAGATATGCTGCCAATATCATTTTCTTATCAGGTTAAAATTTGAAGACCCATGGGCTGGTGGAGTGGCTCAAGTGATTAGTAAGCATGGAGCCCTGAGTTCAAACCCCAGTGCTGGAAAAAAAAAAAAACAAACTTAAAAAAAAATTGAAGACCCATACTCAAAAGTGTCAAGGCTGAGTTCTAAATAA